TATTATTAAAAAAGACAGGAAATAACAAGTGTTGAAGATGATGCAGAGAAAAAGGAACGCTCACACACTGCTGGTGGGAATCAAATTGGTGCAACCACTGTGGAAAACAGTTCGGAGATTACTCAAGAAACTGAAAATAGAAATACCATATGACCCAACTATTCCACTTCTGGGTATTTATTCAAAGAATATGAAAACAGTAATTTGAAAAGATATATGCACCCCTATGTTCATTGCAGCATTATTCACAGTAGCCAAGATTTGGAAGCAACCTAAGTGCTCATCAATGGATGAATGGATAGAGAAGATGTGACACACACACACACACACACACACACACAGAGATACACACACACAAAGGAATACTACTCAGCAGTAAAAAAGACGAAATCATGGCATTTGCGACAACATGGATGAAACTTGGGGGTATTATGCTGAGTTAAATAAGTCAGACGGAGAAAGACAATTACCGTATGACTTTAATCATATGTATAAAGATAAACTAACAAACAAACACGTAAAAATGGAGAACACATTGGTGGCTACCAGAGGGGAAGGGGGGGGAGGGCGAAAGGGGTAAAGGGGCACATATGTATGGTGGCCGTTGGAAACTACACTCTTGGTGGTGAACAAGATACAGTCTATATAGAAGTCAAAATATAATTATGTACACCTGAAATTTACATAATATTATTAACCATATACCCTCAATAAAATAAATTAAACATAAAAGAGAAAAACTCCTGGTTATTTAACAAGTCTGAGCCCCAAAAGGAACTGTGCTACCTTCAGAAAACAACTGAGTACTCACCAAGACGATGCCTTGAGCCCAAGGACAGAGGCTTGAACCGGGAGGACAAAGTTCCTCTCCTAAGAGGACAAACACTCTTTTGATCCTGAATAAAGCCTGAGAGCTCAAAACACGAGAAGAGCAGAGCTCAGAATCTGAGAGGAGACTCACCAAACCGAACGCAGGTAGCAACCCTCAGAAGTGATGAGCACAAGGGGCTCGGTGTGTGTACCTCACTTGATTCTTGGAGTCACAGTCTCTCCAGGGTCTCCTCCTTTGGATCTCACTTTTCTGACGCCATATATGTCAGCTTGAAAAAAAATTCACTTATTAATTTATCCTCAAATGAGTTTATTTGGGAACAGACAAAAGAATTGCAATTTTGGATGTGCATGCTATGGAGAATCATAGACAAATCCAGAAAACAAAGGAGGGGAGCTTGCTTTTACAGAGAAAAAGGGAGAGCAGGGAGGGGTTGTTCTTAATGAAAGTCCATTGGAGGAAAGTAACAGTGGAACTGAGCAAGGGCTCCATCTGCTCATGGCAAGATAAAAGGCCAAGCAGGCGGTGGTAGAGAAAGAACTTTAATAAGCAATAAGCTAGCACATCGGAAGATGGTGGACTATTGTCCTCAAAAAACCCATCCTAGGGAGAACTGATTTGGAAATGACTTATTTAAGGCAAACGGGTTTGGGGAGGGAGCTCAAAATGTCAGGTGATGGATGACCACAGAATGTTGAGTGCTTCTCTGTAGCAGATCTGAGGAATCGAAGAAAATCTCAATTACTTCTTTATCTGGGACAGAAGGAGCAGTTTGGGCAAAGGACACGTTATTCTTTCTACCAGTCACAGAGCAGCTTGCCTAGGTGCAGTCCTAAGCGTTTTTCCAAAGCACATTGTGAGAATAAGACGGGGAGGGGAGCATGTGGCCTTTGGGGCTGAAGTTTGAGCTGCTCGATGCTCCTGCGAGATGCTCAGTCAGGCGGAGGGCTGCCAGCAAGCTACTCGCTTTATCAGCGAGCCTCCTGATGTTCTGCAAAGCAAGTTCAGAAACTTTGGTTGCTTTGTTTCCCATGTTAACCTTGTGGGAACAGGCACAGTTTCATCCTAATCCAGGGAAACTTGAAGTCCTTCATCCTCAGCTTAAACAGTTCAGGGTGGCAACGGCTTGTCGTTGGCTGAGCTGTGAAGTTTCTCATGGCTGGGCTGTTGCTGGGTGGGAGAGAAATTCTCCTTCAGTAGTAAAGTAGTTTCACTTCCTGTGGAAAGTACAAAGGTAAGTCTGACTGTTTGCAGTATTTGATGATGTCTGATAGAGCATGAGAGCTCCCTCTACAGGCCTTCCCCACTCCAATTTAGTTAAGTTTCTTTTACTAATTTCCACACTTTTCTTCCTCCCTCCCTGCTTCTCTACAACACTTCCTTCCTTCTTTCCTCTGTCCTTCCTTCCTCCTTCCTTCTTTTGTTTCTTTCATCCTTCCATCCTTATTTCCTTCCTTCCTTCCCTACTTCCTCTCTGTCTCTCTCCTACAACTTCCAGGACTATGTTGAATAAGGGGTGAGAATGGACGTCCTTGCCTTGTTCCTTATCTTAGGGAGAAAATGTCCAGTCTTTCACCCTTAAGGATAAGGATAGCTGTAGGTTTTTCTGTAGATGTTCTTTATCAAATTTAGGAAGTTCCCCACCATTTCTAGCTTGCTGAGAGTTTTCATCATGAACGGATGTTGGATTTTGTCAAATGCATTTTCTGCATCAATTGATATATCATGCAATTGTTCTCCTTTAACCTGTGGATGTGATAGATTACAGTGATTGATTTTCAGAAACAGCTTTGCATACCTGGAATAAATCGGACTTAGTGGTGACATATAGCTTTACACATTGCT